CCTCCCCGCAGGCCACTACCCGGGCCGCCCCGCACTGAGCGCCCCGGGTGCCAGCCCCTGGGAGCAGGTGTGGCGGCCCGTCAGAGGACGCGCTCTGCGTCGGTACCTTAGCACTCGGTCTGAGGCCTGGCTGGACTTGGACGCGTCACAGCTCTGGTGTTTCTCCTGGGCCTTCGCCAGTTTCTCTGCTGCGGCGATAGGGCATCCAGAGAGGCTGCAAGGACAGACAGGGGAGTCACTGTCTCCCCCAAGGCTGCCCTGCACAATTGCCACCCCCTCCTGGCCCTCCGTCAGTCCCCAGCCCGTCCCGGGGCACGCCTGGGGGATGAGCAGGGAGCGAGGACTGAACTGCCTGCCTCCTGGTCCCGCAAGTGGGGCTGGGGCCACGCCGGGTGGAAAGGACACGCCGTCCTTTCCAATGACAGTGAGACAAAGGTGTGTCATTCAAGGGACGACAAGCCAGTTGAAAATTTACACACAGATTCCGTTCTGGGAGACCCGTAGTTTCTGGAGAGGAGGAATTAACCGTGTGGGTAGGAGGGGTCCCCAAGGAGCCCGAGAGGTGGCGCGGAGCTGCTGGCCCCAGCGTGGCGGCCCATGGGCTGACCAGCACGTCCGCGTCCCCAGGAAGGGAAGAGGAGTGGGGGGAAAGCAGAATGGTCTCAGGCTGCCGTCAGGCATCCTCTGTGACTAAGTGCTTATGGGAGAGACGACAGATTTGCTCTTTTGTGTTTGAGCTGATTTTTCAGGAAACCATGGGGTACACGGGGTACAGGTGCTCAATTCACGCCCACGACGCCTCAGACTCTGCGGAGGTTTGGTGGAGGAGCGGACGTCACCAGCCCTGTGAGCAGCCTCAGTGGGACCCTCCATCCGGCAAGTGCCTTTTTAGAGGAAGCCCAGAAAAACCTCTGAAGGGCACAGGCTCATGGCTTCCTCCACGGCACACTTGTCACAAGTCACCACACTTACCAGACAAGCAAAAATTAAAGTGACACTTACAACAGGTTCCTCTGTTTAGATGTAATTTTACATAAACTTGTGAAGCAGAAACTATAGGCAGTAGAAAAAAAATTAACAGAATCACTTCAGGCTTCTGAGAAAAAAGCGTCTGATAGGAACTGAGTGTTCTAAGTAACTCGGTGAAAGAATAAGACAGGAGAGAGAACTGGGCAAGAGCGTGGCTCTAAGCATGTGCGTTTCTAGCAGCAGCCCAGACCGGTCTACGTCCTGCAGGTGTCCCCCGCCAGCACCTGGCACGTCTGCTGGCACTTGGGTGGCGGCCACCCTGACGACCAGCGCTTCGGCAGTGGGTCAAGGGGCCAGCCGAGTGGGGTCAGACACCGTTCAGTCGTACTGTTTGCTAATGTCTGTCCTGCCGGATGCACCCAGGACGGGCCCTCCAACCCCTAGAAGGTGACGGAGCTCTTCCTTCCTTCCTTCAGGTCACTGCAAGCGGCTAGGGTGCCACCCGGGCTGCCACCCTGGGGAGGGCCCTGCTGGGGGCTGCCGCTCCACCACCACCAGGTGGGCGAACCACCAAGAAGTCCAACCTGCCAGAGGGTGTGAGCACTGGCGTG